CCTTAGTGCATAGTATCATAGAGTAGTATCATAAGTAGTTTTATTTATTGTCATACACGACACATAGTTGCATAGAATTTATTATGATAAGGTATCATAATATGATACTCAACCCTTTCTTTATTCATTTAATATTACGCGACCTCGTCAAAATTGCCTACTCCCTCCGTCTGGGGAAAAGTGTACATATACTCCCTCATTTTCGGTTTATAGGGCTTATCTGAAAATTTTAATTTTTTCATTTTATAAGGCTGAATTTGGTTGTTCCTCATCACATGTTTAGATTCCAAGGTGCATTAAATCATTGCATGCAAGTATTAAGAGAAAATTTGACCAATGCATGTACTTTATGCATGCATGCACTGCAATTAATGCATTGGTAAACATATTTTTTAGGAAAACAAGAGCATTAATTGGATGCTTTTGCAAACTACAAAAAATATACCACCACTCACCATCTACGTTGGTTAGTGAGATTTTTGAATTGACCACTATAAACCGGAAATGAGGGAGTAGAAATTTTAGAACAAATTATGGAGTGGAGTAAAAAACGCATTTGAAATGTGCAACCCACCATATCTCTCCTCTTTAATTATCTACCCCCCAATGACCTAAGTGCATGTAAAATTAAGGAGACCATGTGTAGAATGTTATTGGTCTTGATTACCGTGTGATGAGAGAGAAGCATTTTTCCCACTTTAATGTGCATTGAGAATATAGATGTACACTCTTTTGCGGACAAATTTTAAAGCCAAATATACACTCTTCACCGGACGGAGGGAGTGCTTGGCATGCATGATAGTACTAGCTATAATACTCCCACTACGGCCAACCTTAGAGCACATCTAGATGTAAACCACCCCTTACAAAAAATTAGATATGCCCAAGACATACCCTTGTACTCCTTCCATTTCTTTTTACTCTGCATATAGAATCTGTCTTAGGTCAAACTTCATAATGTTTGGCCAAATTATATATATATATATACACACACACACATATATAAACATTATTCTGATTACGGGATCAGAATAATATCCTGATCACAACATGAACTTTCCGAGTAACGCGTTTGACCTTCCCCGAGTACTAGGTTGAACTTCAGCTAAAAGGTGTCCAAATGGGGCTTTCGATATATCGCTGGAAAGCTATGGACATCAGTATCATGACCCAAGTTAAATTTTTGGCAAAATGTAAGCGGTTTAAGAGCAGTTTTGAAAACCATTTTTTCTTCATACAAAAAACGTGAATCGTATTTTCGATCGCATTTTTAAACCGCTTATCGGAATGAGGCAAATAATATGGCGTTGGAAAGCTGCTGCAAAACCGCTCCTTCCACATGTTGAAAGTTTTCTCTAATTCCCTACGGTTAAAGAGTAATTCGGAAAATCGTAGAATTTCGCAAATGGAACACTCGAGTTTTTATTTTGATGCCATTTCTAAACGGCTAATCCAATTGAGGCAAATAATATGGCGTTGGAAAGCTTATGAAAATGCGCTACTTTTTCATGTTAAAAGTGTTTTCTAATTTTGAACGGTTCAAAAGCAATTTAGACACTGATACAAGTTCCACCGAGTTCATATTTTCGAGCTAATTTTTTAACCGTACGTCCGAATGCAGCAAACGATATGGCGTTGGAAAGCTTGAAAAAATGTGAAACTTTTTTGTATATATTGTTTCTCCTAATTCCTTATGGTTTTAAGTCAATTTGGAAAATGGCTAAAAATGTATTTTCCCCGTAATTTCTACAAACTTTGTCGGAATGAGGCAAATAATATACATCTGAAAAGCTACGGAAAATGCGAAACTTTTCCATGTTGATGGTTTTCTCTGATTCCTAGCCGTTTTCTTGTAATTTCGAAAACAGCGAGATCATTCGTTCTGCCTTTATCGCGAAACAGATTCTTCGAAAATGCACCGCGTGAAGAATCTGAACTTCTCGGCGCGTGTACCTGAACTTCACTCTGTTTTTCACGTGAATTTTTTGCTCGTAGGTCTCCATCCACTGCTCGTAACTCTCCATCCACTCACCGGAATTGAGCAAGTGATATACCGGTGGAAAGCTGCTGTAAGCACATATCTTTCCCGTGTTGATCATTTTTTCATACTCGCGATGGTTTTAAAAGTTTTTTATCTAAAATTCATTCAGCGTAGTAGTTGAACTTCATGCTATTTTCAAGTTGAACTTCTGTGACGTATTTTCGTTTGTAATTTTCTCATTCATTCTTTAGTAGTTACACAAATGATACTCCTTTTGTACAAACCCCTCTCACAATAAATTTTTTAACTTTCTTTGACCGAGGAGTTGCACTTATAACAACAAAAACTTTTAATCTTTGCTTTTTTATTCTTTTTAATACAAAATGCACACCATGTAGTACGTGAACTTCTGGCAGTTATCAATCAAACTTCTCTCGGTTACGTGAAAATATCTGAGTTTTTTATAAATATTTATCTGAATTTCTTAATCCTTTTTTATAAAATTTTGAAGCGCACTATTTTTAAAAGTTGAACTTCTTGTTTTTTATTTTTGAACTTCTTGTTTCCAATCTTTAAAAATGAGGAAAATCTGAGTTTTCTATAATCATCGAACTTCTTCATCTTTTTAATATGGACTTCCTGATTTTATTTCTTTAATTTTTTTATGAAATTTTGAAGCACTCTATTTTTAAAAGTTGAACTTCTTGCTGCTTTATTTTTGAACTTCTTTTTTTCATTCTTTAATAACGAGAAAAATCTAAGTTTTCTATAATCATCGTCCTTCCCGCTGTTTTCACTTGAACTTCTACCATGTTTTTTTGTTCGTAATTTCTCACCCGTTCATCAAAGTTGCACAACTGATATATAGTGCCGATTGCCTCTCTCACAAGAAGTTTTTGAACTTCCCCGTGCTGAGCACCTGAACTTCTAGCAGTGAAATTTTTATACTTTAACTTTTTATTCTATTTTCTCATATGAAAACACACACCATGCAGCACGTGAACTTCTGGCCGTTTTCAATTTGAACTTCTCTGTAAAAAAGTTGTCCTTAACTCCCAAAGCACTCGTCGAATTTGAGCAAATGATAGCATTGGAAATGATTTTTTTAACAAATCATGACTAGTTAAGAGCATTTTTCGAACATGCTAAGACTTGTTTTGAGCATATTTTAGTAACGAAAAAAATCTAAGATGTTTTAAATGTCGAACTACTTTATTAATTGAATTTGAACTTCTGAACATTTTTATTTTGAACTTCTGTGTATTTATTTTATAACTGTGGAAAACAAAACCGATGTGTTTGTCCCTATAAGGAATTTCATGGGTTTATTTTGATTATTTAGTAACGAGAAAAATTTGAGTATTTTATTCACACCGAACTTCATCGTTTTTAAATTTGGACTTCTTGTTTTTTAGTAATGGGAATAAACCTAGTTTTTAGTAAAACCGAAATGCTTTATTATTTTAATTTGAATTTTGAGAGTTTTTTATTTTAGAAACGGTGAAAATCCTTTTATATTTTACTTTTTCAAATTTAACTTCATACTTCTTCGCGAAATGAGAAGAATCTGATTTTTTTTGTATACATCGGACCCTCCATTTCTTCAAAGTGAACGTCTTGGCTTTATTATTTGGTAACATGGATTTTTTTGTAAATAAACACAGAACCACATCATTTTATAAATTTGAACTTCTAAGTTTTTCATATAAAAGGAGAAAATCTTTTTAGAAAAAAATATTTTTTGAATTGCTTTGTTATTTTAATTTGACCTTCTCAGAGTTATTTAAAACCATGAAAAAATTGTTTTCTAGTACATATATTGAATGACTTTTATTTTAGTTTGAACTTTTTGGTTATCATTTTTCAGTAACGGGAAAATCCATGGGATTATTTTTAGTACAACGATAACATTTTCTTTGAACTCTCTATTTTATGAAATTTGAACTTCTCAAGTTAACACTATTATAGTTGAAGCTTTGTTTTTCTTCATGGTATATAACCATCGAACTTCTGTGTTATCTTAATTTGAACTTCTTGGGTTTTATTTTTTATGAACGAAGAAATCCAGGTTTTCTTATAAACACTGAACCACTCCAGTATTTTAATTGAGCTTCTAGGTTTTTTAGAAACAGGAAAATTTTGCTTTTTCAAAAACTTTTTAAATGCACTATATTTCACTCTTTTCAAAAATAGAGTGAAATTTTTTCCACAAGAAATATTGGACATTTTGGTAGGCGAACCTGTACAGTTTTTCAATTGGTTTGCATGTTGAACAGCGTCAACGTTAAAAACTGAACTTCTGTTTTCTTTTTCTTCTAATAAAAACACACACTATAATTATAATCTCTGTTATTTTAATCTCAACTTCTTAGTGCGGATCCATGTCGGCAGTGCGCGATTGGCCAGATTCGTGGAGGAGTAGGGGCTCCGACCAATGTAGCTGACAACAACTGCACCACCGACATTTTCCTTCTACAAACTTCCAGCGTTCTCATATTACTTGAACCTCTAAAATTATACTTATTGAACTTCATGTGGTTTTTGCAAAGAACTCGCTAGCATTTTTTGTTTTGTTGAATTCCATTTTGCTTTCCAAGGCTTTTTTAAACATAACAACTTTACTTGTTTTCAATGAATTTTTGGATTACAACAAGCACCCATGGAGCATGCGCACTTTGCACAACCAATTTTGAATGAAGTGCTATTTTTTGTGCACTTTTTAATATACATATAACACGGTGCCAAACTGCAGAAAAATACCAAATCCAAACTGCTCCCGTATACATTACCGAGCTCAACCTCAAGCATGGAACCTCAAGTACGGCCAAACATCAAGACCAATAGTCAGGAACCTAAAGCATTATACCACTACTGAAGCTATACGGCCAACTAGCAATTTGCAAAACAAAACAAAACAAATGGAACGGCCAGGTGCTCCATCAAAGGGAACAATTTTTTCTTTGAGACCACCTCTAATTTGCTGCAAGTCTACAACAATCACAAAACACAACATTTGAACCTAATGTTGTTTTTTCTTCTTCTCCAATATATATTGAACTGCTGATGTGGCATAGTTGAACGGTCGAGGCACTGCGGCGCCAGCTGTAGGTGGTGGACCTAAGTGGCAGTGGCACGCGCGACCAGGTGCAGGTCGAGACTTCTCCCAGCTGCAGGTCGAGATATCCCCCATCTGCAGATGGAGCCACTCTAACGCAGCAGCGGCAAGATGATAGGTAGGTCTTTCGAAAAAAGTGAGAGACATTGTTTGCTCCTTAGGCATTACATCGAACAACTGTGGAGCGCCATCTTTGGCCACTGAAAAACAAAACCCAACAAAGATCAGGCATGGACACTTTGCTGTAGCACATGGTACATCAGTGTGAAAATTAAGAGCTTGTGGATCATTTTACCTATGGATCTTGAGGGGTTACAGTACAGTTGGAATTTCGTCCGTCCGCAGCTATGGCCTATGAACTTCGTGTGGCGGTGCAGTCGACCTACAGGAGCATGGTGGAGGAGACCGAAAATGGATCCATAAATGTGGTGGTAAGCCTAAACACCCTTTTTACATACAAAAAGAAAAAAGAAAATGTGTGCCACGTGAGAAATGTGGCCTTCTCTACACCACATGTTGCATTTCTACCTTGTCAAGCTCTGTCTACTGAGCTATGTGCTCTCGACCAAAGGTAGCATGGCAGGAGAAGCTAGTGCTTGCTTCATCAGAACAAAAAAGAGCTAATCACAAAAATGCTTCAGTTCTAGCACGCATAATAGCAAACACATAGAGTGCACCTGGTTCACTTTCAGAATACATAAAGATTGGCTTTCTGGCTAAGCATCGGCACATGAGACTATGAGTGAACCTCCAGCATAGCTTCCCTAGTGCTATCGAGAGGAGAAAAATGCAGGTAGGTACCTTTGCAGTGGGTGTACCCGTCACCGTCGTAGCGGACGCCGTTCACCATGGGGCACTCGCACACCCTGCCCCGGTACGTGTCCCTGCACACCATCATGTTCGTCGCCTCGTCCCGCCAGCACCCGCCGTTTCGGTGCAGGCATTCGTTCGTCTCCATGTCTGCAGAGAAAAGCTCGTCAGAAGTTCATCGTCGATTCACCCTTCTTGTCATCGGAAATGAAGGCCTTGGTGCTCACCATGGCTCAGGCAGACTTGCGGTTCGGTCCCCTCCTTGAAGCCGGCGCACACGGCCTTGAGCACTGCCGTCCTCTCCAGCTTCCCTGCACGCACACACCACACATCATGTCAGTTCTTCCATCGCCGGAAAAATGAAAGAGACGGCGCAACAATGGCCAACGGGCCAACCCACCTCTGCACTGGACGCCGTTGATGACGAGCATGGGCAGGATGGTGACGTCCCCGCGCGACCCGCGCCCGATCTGGTCCTCCTGCTCCTTGGACATGACGGCATTGTCAGCGTCGGCGTCGGGGTCGCCCATGCACACCAGCACCTTCTCCAGCGACAGCCCGAGCGAGGCCACCACCTCCTTAGCGCACGCCTTGTTGTACTTCTTCTCCTTCATGGAGCACCGCAGCTTATAGTCCATGGTGAAGTCCCACCACGCCCACGGCCGCCCGCTCTCGTTGGCCACCCAGTGCACGCACAGCTGCCGCAGGTTCTCCACCACCACCTGCTTCCCCTCGTACCCCTCCCCGAAGTCCTCCTCCGGGTCCGGCGCGTAGTACTTGCACGCCCAACCACATCGTCTCAAGCTCTTGCCATGGCAGGTACCAGAGAAAGCTTCCTCGACCAGCAGTGGCGTGCCAAACTGAGAGTAACAAAATCATTTTTTGGGTGTGCCAAACTGAGATAAGAGAGACTGAGAGGGCAGCATCAGCACATGAGACTATGGAGAGAAAGAAAGAGCTTCAACCAAACATCGACACATGCCCAGAAGCTACGTGGGCAGTGAGTCAAAGTAGGAGCTCACTGTTGGCTTTGAGCCAGATGGCTGCATGAGTTGAACGACGTGGAGGGGCTGCATCGAACTGCTGCATCTCCTGCCGGCTCGAGCCACCTCCGCGTGACACCCTTGCACCCTAGACAGTTAAGTTCTATGCAGTTCAATCAGTCGACACAATAAAGTTCAGTTAACAAAACTGCAGAAACAAGAGAAGAAATGCATCAGTTTTGTACAGAAGAAACACAAAATCCGGCAACCACTAGTCGAGGTCGGCGACATCCGCTGCGGGAATGAGATTGCCGTGGCTAGTGGGAGCTTGGGTGTGAGTAGCCTCGAAGCAAACTACGCCAGCAACCGAGTAGATCCAAACAGAGCAGCAGGGGCGATCTTGATTCCTCGTCCAAAAATGGCCAAGTTCTGAGTGCGTGGAAGAAGGACGCTGCGGCAGGGGGGAGAAGGTCGTGGTGGTAGGAGCAAGAAGTTCGCGGCGGCAGGGGAGCCTAAGTGCGTGGCGTCCCGAGTGGCGGCGCTTGGAGAGGTGGAAGAAGGTCGCTCGTGGTCATCCGCGGCACGGCGGCAGCGCATCGGGGAGGTGTCCCGCATCGGCGGCGCGTCGTGGGTTTCAGCTGGGAGCGGGGTGGCAGCGATGGAGTGGGGAGGATGGCGCTCCGGTGGCCAGGGAGCGGGGCGGCGAGATGCAGGTGCGGCGCTGGGTGGGTCGCGCGCATCAGGGTGGATCGGGGTGGAGTGGGAGGAGGAGCGCCGGCGGATGGGGAGGTGGCGCTCCGGCGAGAGGGGCGCCAGCCGTGTGGAAGGAAGTGCGGCAGCGACGCCGGTCAGAGGGAAGAAGCGCGCTGGAGCCAGGGGCAGCGGCGGAAGGTGTCAGGAGATCCGACAGAGGTGATGCGGGAGGTGGGGTGGGGTTGGGAATGCGCCAATCAGGCTTTTCTTTTTTTGTGTTTTCGGAGTTCGGGAACGTCTCATCGGGCCTATATAAGGCGCCGTGATCATAATAGTTATTCTGATCCTGAGATTAGAATAGTATTGTCCTATATATAATACTAAAATTATACAATATGGAAGTTAATTCATAATGCATTTTATGATATTGTGAATATTAATATTTATTTAGATAAATATGGTCAAACTTTACTATGTCTGATTTTAAACAAATCTTAGATTCGAAGTAAAAAAGAAAAATCGGAGCTAGAAAAAATCACTAATTAGACATTCATGACCTCGGTATCAAGAATGATTACTTACATAATTTTGGAACATGTGTTGACACGCATATTCATTTAAAATAATAATATATATTAAAAAATATAAGAGTTTGTACAATTCATGAATGTATGCAGTTAACATGTAATTGTGAAATAAAAAAAAGGTGCATAGAAAGTCATTTACTAATGAGATGACATAACTGATCTTTTGATTTCTTTGGGATATATTGCAAGATCTGCCAATGCAAATCAGTATACATGCACACTGTCCTCTTGTGAATGTCTTCTCCAATAGGCCGTACAACCTAGATAGTTGTCGCCTGTCAGAATCAAAGGACATCATCTTCCTCAACTATGTGGCAGCCTTGCTTATGACCAACCTACAAAAGATGGAATTAATCAACGAAAGCATCATGCAATTGAAGCCTGATAATCACAAAATGCATGACTAGTTGTACAAGAGGATCAGTAATTACAGATTAAAACATATCAAGCTTGACCTATGCTTTTTAACTAATATTCACTCTACCGTCCTCCGCAACCTATACTGACATGGTATAATTGGACAACAACATACTTATTTGCTAAATTGCATAAGTGAAAAGAAATCATGAACTAGGCAGAGCATGTGACCTTCATTGGCATGCATGCTAGTACTAATCAAAATTTGTCTCTGCCTTAGGACCTACTATTGGAGCGCTCCCGTTGGCACTGGCTGGTGGTCGACATCTTATCATGAGATCATAGCACTTTTCTTTTGAGTTTTTCATTTTCGTTTCTTTCTTTTTCCCATACAATTGACGTGCTCACGGCCTTCCTCTATCAATAAAAAGGCAGCTCTCCTATGTAGTTTCTATGCTGCATTTCTGTGTGCATTTTTTAAACTTGATACAAGAACGTAAATCCTAAGATTGAACGTAAATCCCTAAATCTTTTACTTTTCTAGCTAATCATACCAGTTGAATTAACTATGGAACATCTATATAGAGCTACATGTGATATCTAAACATCTCAACATAGTCACACACAAAAATGAGTGGCAAATGAAGTAATATCTATTTTTTTCTTACGTTGTGACCTCACCAACCTCATTGTTCAGAAATGGTGTTCCTTCCAATCACGATTAATAGAAAATGGATCATACTGTCACACAATAAATAGTTCAAAATACAATAACTGGGCAATTGTTCCGTTCTATACCGACATTTCAGTTATCAGTAGCTTTTGGTGGAACATGTTGCAGATCACATCAATCTGTTACAATGTTGATTGGGTTAGGAAGACGCAAGTAACGGTCTACTTGGAGATGTGTGTGATGGTACCTGCTGAGGGAGGTCGTTGAAGTGGCCATCCATAGCGGCCTACTTCCGAGCTCGACACATGACCCCATCCATTGGTGTCACACCAACGTGTGCAGATTACCCACAACCCGCTTTATGCTCTCGGGGTGGTGGCTGCTGGGTTTATTTATCTATGCTTGTCTGGACGTCCGCTACAGCAGTTGCCACATGATGGAAATAATGCATGGATATGAAGATGGTATGAGGGACATCGATTGGGTGAAGACTCTTCTCGCAACTGCCTCTTGACTGGACCTACTCTGAGGCGCTCTCCTTGGGCACCTCATCTGATGACACACGATGGTGACATTAGATCAATCCTGAGGATGGAGTATTAATTATCTTCATCCTAATTAAGTATAACTAAATAATTAATTGCATTAATGCCTTTATTTCATAACCGATTTTTTGCAAAAAAAAAATCTCTACTTAAACGGAATTAATTAATTGCCTGGCTAATTAATTGCATTAATGGCTTGATTTCTAAATTGATTCGTTTTTTGTTTTACAAATTATTTTGCATTAATGACTGGGTGATACTTTTCATAATTAACATGATCCTCTCGTTTTAGACTTGAGAATACTTTTCATAATTAATGTGATACTCACATCCAAAGAATGATACTCTCCATAATTAAAGTGGTCTTTGTGTTAATCACTAGATTAAACTTTTCATAATTAACATGATCCTTCAGTCCAAAAAATATTCCCCATAACTAAAGTGACCCTACTATCAAACGCTCGACAATACTTTTCATAAATTAACATAATCCTCCCGTTGAAATAATTATACTCTTTATAATTAATATGATCCTTACATCCAAAAAAGATAATCTTAATAATTAATGCAATTTTCCCGTCCAACGCTCAATTATACTTTTCAAATTAAATGGACCTATTAATTGCCTAGCTAATTGAAACACATAATTAATCGATCTAGCTAATCAATTGCATGCATCTGTGGGCAAGGCAAGAATTGAGCAAGATATGACTAAGACGATGTTTTGGCATTAATGGTTGCATGCGAACGAACAAAAAGACCTACGGACTCCCCCTTTAGGAGTAGAGATATACAGATATTTCAGTTATCAGTAGCTTTTGGTGGAACATGTTGCAGATGATATCAATCTGTTACAACGTTGATTTGGTTAGAAAGATGCATGTAACAGTCTAACTGCAGATGTGTGTGATGGTACCTGTTGAGGGAGGTTGTTGAAGTGGCCATCCATGGCAGCCTCCTTCCGAGCTCGACACATGACCCCATCCATTGGTGTGACACCAACGTGTGCAGATTCCTTACAACCCGCTTTGTGCTCTCAGGGTGGTGGCTGCTGGGTTTATTTATCCGTGCTCATCTGGATGTCCGCTGCAACACTTGCTGTCACGACCGGTTTTCCAATAAAAATATTTATTGAGAAACCAATCTTTTGAGTCCAGTATGAGAGAAATCCTCCTCACTGGTAGACAATTTCTTGATACAATAAGCCAGTAGCATAAAATATATTACAGGGTCGAGCTGCGGTTGCTCAACCAAATTATTACAAGCACGCCAATAATTATACATAATGGCGGACATGACACAGTGGTGTGGAGACATACTACTGACTCGAGGATAGGGCGGTGGTGGAAAAACACAGCGGGGAGAGAAATACAGGACTCTAAGTCTATCATCTCATCGAGCGTCGAGGTGAGGCTCGATGAATTTATTTGGTAGCGGAAGCGGATATAAAACAGTGATCAAATCCAGGGTCGCACGAGACTGACTGGGACTCCTCTAAGTGTCGGACTCGCTATCGAACTCTTCATCCATGAAATCGCCTTCGTCAGCATCTGGCCAAATCAACAAGCCAGCGAGTACTTTGAAAGTACTCGCAAGACAGTTCGGACGTAAGATATAACAAATGCATGCATGGATGCGTCATGATTAATTCACCAAAAGTACATTCAAATTATCATAACAAGGTAAGTAAAAGGGAAACGGCGGTAGTCCGCCTGAAATCCCAACAGAACATAAATAATTACCGATCGGGGGTCTGAAGCGACGCCTCGAAAGGTGAACAAATAAATATAAAAAAAAGATGCCACAGTCGGGCGTCTTAGCGACACCACATAAAGGGCTTAAAAAGAAATACCTCAGTCAGACGTCAGGGCGACGTCACAGAAAGGGCTTGAAAAGAAATGCCACAGTCGGACGTCGGGGCGACATCACAGAAAGGCTTGAAAAGAAATGCCACAGTCGGACGTCGGGGCGACATCACAGAAAGGGCTTGAAAAGAAATGCCACAGTCGGACATCGGGGCGACATCACAGAAAGGGCTTGAAAAGAAATGCCACAGTCGGACGTCGGGGCGACATCACAGAAAGGGCTTTTATGGACAGATAAATAATAATCATAATAAACTTTTAATTCATAAGAATAAATGGGTTAGTCCATCCACAGGAATATCATTTAACCGGAATTAGCACTCATGCGAAACACCGGGGTCTCTGTCATCAACACTGTCATTGTTAGGACAAG